GATTTTGAAGAGAAAATTTCTGAAATCTTGTGAAAGATTAGATAGGAGGCATTTGAGTGCTTCCTGTTAAAAACCACGCACTGAAATCCACACAATCACCCTGAAGACAGAAGGAGGAAATGGACAAATTAAAGACTATTTCCTGCACTCTAAAGATGATAAGTTTGTTAAGAAATTCCCTAAAATTCATTGGCTTGGCTAGTCTGTAGCTATTAAGATCAGGATCCCTTCAATGCCAGACTATCCCTGAAGGACTGGAAGTCATCGCCCTGGGGCTTCAAAAATGACTCCATGTTTTTCTGACTGGAGATTAGGGAAAAAGTCTCTGGCAGTTTGTTTGATGTGATTTTAAACTGGTACTTAAACCAATTCTGACTGTTTGATAATGAATGAGCCATGTGTCTTTCTTCTGTGGTTTTGATTGGAAAGGATCTCTCTAAGGGAGAGCAGGGAGGAAGAGGTGTGGGCTAGGTGCCAATTCTATGAGGTGGTGGAAGAGGTCAGCTCTGTGTACTGGCTGCATCCTCAAGGGAGTGGGGATGAATAATAAAAAAACCATATAGCTAGCATGTATTGCATGATAACTCTACAGATGTTAGCAATTAGGCCAATTCCAAACACTCTTCGTATAACAGCCCTCAAAACATCCTTAAGAGGCAGCACTATTGTTACTACTCCCATTTTACAGATTACAAAACTGAGGCTGAGAGAAGTGACTTGCCCCAAATCACGCTGCTAGTATGAAAGAGAGTCAGGATTTGAACCCAAGCAGTATGGCTCCAGAAAAGAGAATAAGGTGGTAAGGGCAAAAGATACAGAATTTATACCAGCCTGTCCAATATAATTTTCTGAGATTATGGAAGTTTGTGCTGTTTGGAACAGGAGCCACTAGCCATATGTGAAATTGGCTAGTAAGACTGAGCAACTTAAGTTTTAATTTAATTTTAATTAATTTAAATTAAAATGTAAACACAGTCATGTGTGACTAGTGGCTCTTGTATTGGACAGTACAGGTCCATGTTATAGGAAGAATCCATGCTAATGACCGACTCTAGGAATGTGCATGACAAGAACTGGTGTCCCTGTTGCATTCCCCCCACCATTGCGTACCAGCAAACCCCCACTCTCTTGGGATGGATGCTATCCCATGGTTGTAGCTTATCCCTGCACCACAGCAGGAACTAAGGGCTGAAAGCCAGCCAACCAGCCCAAGCACCATTGCGGTCAGCTTTGGTAAGTACTGAACACTTCAGCCCAGAGGAAGAAGAATGCCTTCTTATTTGGTTGGGCCAGTTTTTGATAATTTGTTCATCCAGAGGGGATGCTAGTTTTATAATCTGCACTAAGATTGATTTTGTGCTGGTATATGCCCCAAGTTGGGGCTTTCCAGGTAGCTCAATGGTAAAGAATCCACCTGCCAATGGAGGAAATGCATATTTGATCCCTGGGTCAGGAAGATCCCCTGGAAGAAGAAATGTCAACCTACTCCACTATTCTTGCCTAAAAAGTTCCATGTACGGAGGAGCCTGGCAGGGGCTATAGGGAGTCAAACACAACTGAGTGACTGAGCACAACATGCTACTATATATAAAACAGATAACTAATGAGGACTCGCAGGAGATGTGGGTTTGATTTCTGGGTCTGGAAGTTCTCCTGGAGGAGGAAATGGCAACCCACTCCAGTATTCTTGCCTGGGAGAACCTCATGGGCAGAGAAGACTGATGGGCTACAGTCCATGGGGTTGCAAAAGACTCACACACAGCTGAGCGACTAAATAACAACACATGCTCCAAGGCGCTTCCCTAAATTTGTCTACTAAGAACTCCAAGAGCTAGGCTATCCAGAGCTACCCTAATTTCTATATTTGGGTTACTTTCCTGCACAATCTGCCGTGGACTGAGATAAAGTTTTAAGACTTCTTCCCTTCCTTTCCCTGCCCCTGCTAAAGATAGATTCTTTGAAGGTTTTCCCTGTAATTTTACCAACTACAACTCTAGGAAAACCAAGGGGAATTAATAGCATAATAAACTCAGGGATCCTACAAGTTATAAGACTTCAAACTATAGTCACAGCTCTCTCCAGACTTCACCAAAATATCACCAGGGCCAGGCTGCTTCTTTAAAGGCTTAGTTCTTGGGGAGGCAGATCTATTCCATCCTTCTTTCTTTTTATTCCTGAATTATAATGCTCCTGAGTTGCTTAACCTTGCCCCCTAAGTCCTCAACCCAATCCTGGATGTTGTCTAACTTTGGATACTACCAAACGTTCAAAAACCTATTCACAGAGCACCTCCCATGTATCAGGCATGGGGTGGGGGGCAGGGATAAGACACAGCCCCTGCTCTCAAGGGAGACGGCAGCCTGGAGAAGGTGACCAGTAAGTAAACAGGAAATGACAACACAATGTGCTGAGTATTATGACACAGGAAAGTACAAGGTACCATGTTACACGACAACTGGGCTAGAGAGAAGACTACCTAGGTACATGTGTAGAAGACTACACATACCTAGGCTAAAGAGGTCAAGGAAGGCTTTCTGGAGGGGAAGAGATGCCTGAGCTGAGATAAGAAGGACAAGTTAGAAGTGTCCAGGTGAACAGGCGAGGCCTGGGCCACAAGGGCATGCAGAGTGCTTCTGCTATTTTGCCTGAATGCTGGGTCTGTATGCCACTCTTCTGTTTGAGTGTCTGAAGAGTGAGTTTGAGGAACTGAAAGAAGCTCAGTGTGGGCTGTGGGTGCAGGATGACACTGAGGCGACAGAGCCAGTTAGGAGAGCCAGCATAAAAGGTTTTGTTGCTCCTGCTGATGAGTTTGGACTTTAGACCACAGGCTCCAGGAACCACTGAAGGGCTTAAAGGAGAAGCAACAGGTACCACCAGCAGGCGAGTGAAACTGCAAACCTCACATGAGAATGATCTGTACTGGGGAGTCAAGGGGACTCCAGACTGAACCACGTGAATTCAATGCTGTCTGCCTTCACCCACAGTGCCCCTCAGCTTGCCTGGGAGCACCTCTGGGGACAGGGGAAGAGAGGGAATGCCAACCCCCGGGCCACCTGGGAGGTTTCTGTTAAAAAAATTCATGTGATTTTTTTGATGTCCTATTCCATGATAGAGCCACGAGGGTTGTCACATACCAAAAATATTCATACTTTTCATCCAGTCATTGGGCAAAATGGACAATCCAGGATAAAGGCCCTGTTCATCCTATAACTTCAGAAGTTCTAGATGTGGCCCTCCATACACCACTCTCAGAAACAGTCTGAATGAACAATAGATGGGGGAACAAGGCCACGTGCAGGGCACTCTGCCAACATCAGACCTCCTGCTTCCCTACCTAGAATCACATAAACTAAATACTCCCAGTCCTGAGACCATTCTGCCTCAGCACCAGCCTCCAGCCTCAGAGACACTTCCCCATCTGGGCAGCCCATCCCTTCAGCAATGCCTCTCACCTCGCTCCACCACCATGCCAAGCTCCACCCTCACTTCTCACAGAGCCTGTCTACACTTCTGTAAGCCTCCATTGTGCACTCTTCTTTCTATATAAACAACTGTGTCCAGCGCTGTCACCTCTACACTGAAGCTCCAGGAGTAAAGAGACAGGTTTCTTATCTCTGCTCACCATTCAGAGCTTTACCCACTATGTATGATCAGGTTTTACTAAATTCAGTTGATTAACCTGGTTCTTTCTTCCCTGTTCTGTTGTTATTCAGTTCTAGGCTCCAAAGGAAAGGAAATAATGAAAGATTAATTTAGAAAGTTAACAAATTTTGTAGATACAGTCACACATAGGAAATACAAGTTATTGTCTGGGGCACTAAACTACTTTTTAAACTCTGGGGATGATATAATTTTCCTTTTGAAAGAGAAATACCAATCACTCATACATTGCTGGTGAGAATGTAAAACAATATAGTTACTCTAGAAAATAATTTGGCTGTTTTTAAATAAAACTAAATATGCAATTACCATATGATCCAGCAATTACACCCTAAGGCATTTGTTCCAGAGAACTGAAAAGTGATATTCACATAGAAACCTGAATGTGAATATTTATAGCAGCTTTCTTTATACTTGCAAAAAAATTGAAAATAACTGAGATATCCTTTAGTGAATAAAAGGTTAAACAAACTGATATATCCATATCATAGAACACCACTCAGCAAGAACAAGGAATGGACTATTGATATATACAACAGCTTGGATGGATCTCCAGAGTATTATGCAGAGACTGAAAAATATAGTCAGCCTCTGACAGTTATGAATATATTTTGTATGATTCTGTTCCTGTTACATTCTTAAAATGACAAAGTTATAGATGGAGAACAGATAAGTGGTTGCCAGAGGTTAGAGACTTGGGGGAGAAGAGTGTGGGGAGAGGGGGTGCAGGAAAGAGGTGGGTGTAGCTATAAAAGGGCAACTTGGGACCTCCCTGGTAGTCCAGTGGCTTAGATTCTTCACTCTCAATTCAGGGGGCCTGGGTTCAATCCCTGGTCAGGGAACTAGATCCCACATACCACAACTAAAGATCTCTCATGTAGCCACTAAGACCAGGTGCAGCCAAACTGATTAACTGATTTTAAAAAATAAATAAAAGGGCAACTAGAGGGATCCTTGTGGTAATGGAACTGTTCTGCATCTTTGCATATGATAAAACTGCATAGAACTACACACACATCCAAATGACTGGACGGAACACTGGTGAAATTGGAATAAGGTCAGTGGATTGACTGTACCAATGTCAATTTTCTGGTTTTAATACTGTACCCTATATATGAGATGTTACCATTGGAAGCAACTGGGTAAAGGGTAGATGGGATCTATAATTATTTTTTAAGGTGTTTTTTTAAATGAGACACCAAAAGCAGATGCATTTTTCATTGGAGCAAACTGTAGAAAGGAATAGGGTATTCTGTTTATGTTTTAACTACGTTACTTCCAAAGGATCCCAATGCAATCACAGTCGGTTCCTCTGCAGTAATTGTACTGTCCATACTCACCAGTAGGATAGAGTGTAGTTAGTGTCAGGACTTGTATTCCTTCCAGGGAGCCAAGTGCACTTCATGTACCTTAGGTTGTGCCAAATGCATTGGAGCTCAGTAACAGCAGACTCAGGATCACCTAGAACATCCAGCCAAGAGTTTATGACTGTCCTCTCCTTGTAGTGCCAGCTAGCCAATCACTCTGAGGCTGGGGGGTGATGAGGGTGCTTCAGGGTACTTTTCCAGAAAACTGACCCCTAACCTCTCACTCCCATTTGACCCAGAAGGCACCCAGGAGGGAGAAAATCCAAATCTAATTTGCTCACAACTTTCTCTCTCATCTCAGATTAAGAAGACATCTTTACTATCAAGGGACCCTAACTCTTGTACTCCTAACTGGAGACAGAGTTTAAAGGTCAAACAATATTTCAATCATAGGAAATGACTATGAAGTTTCCCAAATGAATGTGAAAACATAAACAACCATTAGATCTACTTGTCGTTACAAAAAAATACGTTTACTGAGTTATAATTTACCTTCCTATCATTTGAGCAATACTGACACATCTTGTTTTAAAAATTAAAAAAACATTCTTCTTGAAGCAATTTAGGGAAAGGTAAGCAAAATATAACTATTAGTCACTGCCTATTGTGTGTTATGGTCTTAGGAGCCAGAAAATCTTATTGATCTGAAATCTCTATGTTTAGAAAGCCTTTTAAGTTAAGATATAACATCTCTAAATTAAACGCCTTTGTTTAAAATTCACACCTGCTATCTCTCGTGATCCTTAAAAGGCTACTTTTTGTCCTAATACAATTTTTGGCATCACCAATCACTTTTTGGTCATAATACAGTTTAGGCTTTATTCAGATTATTAAACTCCTTGGGAAATGAGAATAGGGGAGGTTAAGTTGTTATAAACCATGATCCCAGCCTCTTACCCATACTGAATAATATTTCTGTTATTTTTTTAAGGCACTGGACCTAGGATCTGAAGATCTACAGCAACTCACTCAGTTTCCTTCTTCCTCATAAAATGAATCAGGATAATAATACACACCTTTGTCATTTCACAGAATAAGCTTAAAAAGCTCGATTCAGGGGAAAGGTGTGTGCGTGTGTGCGTGTGAGGGTGTGCCATTGTGTATTACTTTCCAAATTATTCAGTACTCTATAACTACCAGGCATGGTCATTCAAGTTGTCTGTGAGCATCTCACAGTTATCAGTGTGTTGTCAGCATCTAGTACAAGTGCCTGACACTTATTAGACTTAAGTGTTTGAAAATGGAAAGAATTAATGAACACTGAATATAAGCAGGTAGATAATTTGGATGTATTCTCTAAATGCCAAGAGATAGTGCTTTCAGTTGTTACCTTCAGGGGGAGAGATGCACTTTTCCACCAAAATGCTGGGCTTTTCACTTTCATTGGTGCTGCACTGGGACCCCACCTGCAGACAGATCCTCTCATTCAGGGGCACTTCTTTTGAACGATGAGTTTCTGGAGCAATTTTCTAAGGTAAAGAAATTTGGTATTGCTGTAGCCAATGCACAGAAATACATTTATGTAATAAAACATTTGCATGCTGAAATGTGTAAAGAAAATGAAAAGTTAGCAAATGGTATGCAGTTCAGTGATTCCCAACTGGGGGTGATTCTGTTCTCCCACCCCTTGATGATATTTATTGATGTCTAGAAACATGTTTAGTTGCCATAACCGGTGGGGGGGCAGGGGGCAGAGTGAACTGCTACTGGCATCTAGTGGGCAGAAGCCAAGGATGCTGCTAAACCCTCTACAAGGCATAGGACAGCCTTCCCTCCTCCCACAACAAAGAATTATCCTGAATCAAATGGCAGTAATGCCACCATTGAGAAACCCTGGTAGAAATAAAAGACAGTTCCTCGAATTTTCATGTATAAACATCATGACATTTTCTATAAACCTACCATGCTAACATGTCAACTGTCTAAGAGCAATCTCAAAGGAAACTCAGTGAGATTATCAAAATTCAATTCCAAGTAGACGCAGTGTAACATCAAGACTAAGGTCAAATGAACTGGTCTAAGAATCCGGCAACTCTGGTCACCTCTGAGGAGAGGAAGTAAATAAGGGGAACCTGAGGGCTGAGGAATGACTTTTCACCAAACATCTTTCTGCACTGACCATTTTGACGATCTCACATAAACATAGGAATGATAAGGGCTGACGTTATATGCACTGAGTGCAGCACACTCTTATTCTGAAAGGTAAGCTTTGTGGAATCACAGAAAGCCAACTTATAGACAGCCTACAGATAAAAATCACAAATCTTGTTATGATTTAGAATAATGAGATTAAAGGACTCTTCAGGAAATTCACATTTTCCAAGGTGACAGAGTTGGAATTATTAAGAACAGAGCTGCTTTTAATCAGAGTTCCAAGGCGCTTCCTGTTTTGTAATAGTTTCTGACTCAAGTTGGAGACAGCATTTCCTTTTATATACGTGCTGAGAGCCATGAAGGGGAAATTTTGTCAGTGTTACCTCTATCTACCACTCTAAAGGGGCTACTCTGCCATTTCACACGCCTGCCAGCAGCTGAGCATGAAGGCAACTGTGAGAGACTCTCAAAATGAGGACCCAAGGATGTCCTCTGAGAGGTAGCCAGCCAATCATCAATCAACAAACCACAGCAAAGGCACAGGGAAAAAAAACAAGACTTTATGACACTGAATAGCTCTAAGGACTAGGCAAGACAGCACTCTAAAAGAGGAGTTCGTTGGTCAGCCCTGGAAGAAAAGAAAAAAAATGTCTGCAAACAAAATTGTGATGGGGAGAAAAGGTGATTTGGTCCATGAACATTGAGTAGGTTTGTCCCAGCAGCAAAGCCATGCCTACCCTCAGTGGTGCTTCCAGCTATTCTGAGCCAAGGACATTTTCACAACAAATTCCTGACTCCTTGCCAAGGAACCTACTTATCATTTGGCTTTCCATATAGTTGCTGCCTACAGGGATGGAACATACCAGCTGTGCCAACAAAAGCCTCTCGAGACTGTTTCACCATTATTGTTCTCATGGTGAAGTAAGGAACTGGTCCTGGATTGATGAATGCATGCTGAGGAAATGAGGTTTCTCAAAAGACTCTTGAGAATGTTTTGGCATTATTGTTCCCATGATGAAGTAAGGAACTGACCCTGGATTGATGAATGTGTGCTGAGGAAATGAGGTTTCTCAACCTGTGAAGCTGACGACCAGTCTCAGGATTTTTGGTGATGATGGCAGGGAAGCTCTGAATGCACATTTTACCAGCCACACTATTTTACTGAGCAAAAAATATACCCCTGAAGGAGCCGCCCTGACCAAGAATCCTTGATAATTCTTTGAGTTTGCCCTTTGAGGACACCCAGGGGAAAATGTATGGTCAAATGCCATCAGTGAGAATCATCAATGAAAAATCTCAGTTCTCTTATTATACTAGATATTGTTCCAGTGAGTGGGCTGGGGAGTTTTATTACACAAATATTTTTAATAAATAGAATTTCTTAAATTAAAAACATACTTTAGTACCTAAATTTCAATCTTTTGTTTTGGGCATATGAATAATAAAATAACTTAGAAAAGACATGGTAGGGGAAAAGATAAAATACTTAAAAAAATATTCTCTTCTGAAGCTCAAGGCAAATAATACTAAAATGGCATGAATAAAGTAGGAATCCCAGTTGTCAATGACTGCCAAGTCAAGTGTGCCTCTATCAGACCAGGAACCAAATCCCTCCCAGCAGATCTTGATGAAGTATGTCTGATGGCTCCCACGTGACTTTCGGCTCTGGTGACTCATTCTACTGGTAGCTGCTGTATGACATTATGCTCCACCCCTCAGAGAGTCTGGGCTTCTTTGAAAATTTATCAGAAATCAAGGCCAGAGTCCTGAGCCGATCCCTCCCCCTCAAGACCAATGTTCATTTGGCTAGGTTGCAGCTTTCCCAATTCCTAATCCTTTCTCAGAAGGAAAGGGGGGTCAGCTTGACCTTTAGCCTCTTTGGATTCCTAGACAGAACAACAACCTTTTAATTTATTCACCAAGTGAGACTCACCTGTCTCTTGGTGATGAAAGAAATCTAAAATCCGAGGCCAGATCCTTCTAATTGCCAGATTAGATATCGCTAAAACACTGGTGGAGGGCAGCCACTTGAACTAGTCTTCTATTTAAAAAAAAAAATTATCTACGATTCTCTATGTCTCATCTTAATGTTTCTCCAATCTGAAGACTGAAAATGACCTCAATGATTTACCTCATTTAGCAATCTGGGACCATTAGATGGTCACAAAAACACCATAACACATACATGCTATTATAATGCCACTGCATCAATATGCTTCAAAGCATATATACACCCCATGGGTCTTCCCTGGTGTCTCAGTGGAAAAGAATCCACCTGCCAAGCAGGAGATGTGGGTTCAGTCCCTGAGTCAGGAAGATCCCCTGGAGAAGAAAATGGCAATCCACACCAGTATTCTTGCCTGAGAAATCCCATGGAGAGAGGAGCCTGGCAGGCTACAGTCCATGGGGTTGCAAGAGTCAGACATGACTTAGTGACTAAACAATAACAATATATACATCCCAGTGTAGTCTCACAACATTAATGCTATATTCAAAGTACAGAGAGAGGGGAAGAAAATCTCTCCTGCCATTGATTCTCAGACTCAGGATTGTAAACTTCAAAAGGACCAGACAGGAAATCCCCCATCACTGATTGGAAGGGATAATCTGTGTTTATCACAATCCTGACATTGGTATCCTTCAATGCTGCAAATGCCTGCAATAAATGAGTAGGCCTTAGGCAGAGGCCACCCTTTATAGGTTTCTTTGGGAGCAAAAGGGAGGGACCAAGATTAAACAATAATACTGGTTGAACCATACATATGACCTATAAAAGAAACAATTTTACATGATTCGATCTAACAGTATTCATAATAAAAGCTAACAATTACTGAACACTAACTCTGTACCAGGTATATCACAAACATTATCTCCTTTCATAAATGTACACCATTCATATGAAGTAAGTATTTTTACTAGACTTCCCGCACCCCCCAGCATTTTACAAACAAGAAAATGGAGGCTCAGGCTCAGAGAAGTTAAATGACTTGCCTGCCTAAGGCCACAAGACTTGAAAGGGGAAGAGACAAAATTTCCAACCCAATTCTGATTCTACTGCTTCCTAAAGTTACTTTTATGTCTAAGTTTCTGTAATTATACTGAGGAGTCAGCCCCATTTCTAGGCTGGCATATCAGCATATTTAGCTGACTGATCCTTGAGCATGGCTGACAGGCTAATGAACAAGGCCCTGTTAGAAAGACGGTGATCTCTCCTGGGGGTTTCAGTTAGATTACTTAGGTGACACACTAAAAAGGGTCTTTCCTGTAATTTCTCAAGGCTGAACTACCAGAAGCTGTCACTAAGACTCCAACTGTCTAAGGCCCATCCTTAGGAACAAGAGGAAGCCAACAGTGTGAAAAGGGGAACTGGTCTACCAGAGTTTCACTGGCTTCCGCATTTGGAGGACCTCTCTTAAAAGGCAAATACTTGGAACTGACCAGCCTCTTATCAATCGACATCTAAACTACAATTAACACCTCTGTGGGAAGGCAGATTAGCAAGTTCCCCTCCGGAAGGAGAGCCCATTTCATCCTCACTTCATTAAGCTTTCCCATTCATTAGTTTTGGTGTCCTAGCAAGCCAGAGAAGTGTAAAGCCACAGTTTACACACAAGGAAATGAAGGCTCAGAGAGGTTAAGGACTTTACCCCAGGCCACTGAGCTAGCTGCATGGTGCACTAACTAGTTCTCCAGACTCTTCCTGCCACCAAACTGCCTGGACATGATGATTCCACAGTTCACTGAGCCGAAGTACTGTCATTAATAACAACTTCTCATTGGCCTCCTCAAAATCCTGGGCAAATTCAACCCCAAACATCCTCTATCTTCCCCACCCACACACTGAAAGAAGATAGTCACCCCTCTTACATGGGAGGGGCATTGGTTCCAGGGCCTCCTGTGGACACCAAAATGTGTGGACGTTCAAGTCCTTTATTTAAAATGGCCTAGTGTTTGCATATGACCTCTGCCCATCCTCTCCTATACTTAAATCATCTCTGGATGACTTATAATACCTGGTACAATGTAAATGATATGGAAATGGTTGCCAGTTTGAAAAATTCAAGTTTTGCTTTCTGGAACTTTCTGGGATTTTTTTTTCCTGAATATTTTCCACCTGCAGTTGGTTGAGTCTGCAGATGCAGAAACCAAAGAGTGTATACAGGTATAAAACAGTTCTGAACAGAAAATATGATGCTTTGAGGAACCTGTCAATTATAAGGGGCTACAAACCAATAAGGCTCTTAAGAGCCTTAAATACGATTAAATTAAGTTAAATACGATTATCAAAAAGAATCCGAAATCCTGTTAACAAAAATTCACTGAAATCGGTTACACATCTGACTGGGAAAAGCTGAAAGTTTCTCTCATTTTTCCTCAAACATCAGGGAATCTTCTAGCCAATCCCACCTTTCATGGACATCTTATTTTTTTCACTTTCCATATGGCCATTTTCTTTGGCATCACATAGATCTTGCATATCTACCTGTGCATGTGATTAATGAGATGGTAAATGAGAAAATTCCCTGAGAAACTGAGAGTCTTATATAAATACAATGCTTCAGGCAGCAACACAGAAACCAATTTTAACATATTTAATTATTCATGGAGTGCCTATAGGAACCAATTTTAACATAATTAATTATTTATGGAGTGCCTACTAGACAATGATACCTAATATTTCCTAAGACAGTAATAACCTCAATTGTATTTGATTAGCAAATATTTTCTGATGTTCAGTTTTGGACATAGTTGTTTCCATAATTTTCCCAGTTAAAAAAATTGGACACAACTCAAAGTAAAAACCCCACTTTGAAGTTAGAATGTGGCTCATTCTTAGCTCCAACTCACAGTTGTTCACTTTACCTTATCAGTGTGACCTGTTCCAGAAAACTTACCTTATCCTGGTTGTTGCCAAAATGACTGAAATACTTTAGACTACAATTCGGACTGGCTCCCTCAGGAGGATTCCATGTCCATATGATGGTGCAGAGGTTTTCAACAGAAACACTCAAATTTGTCACAGGTGGCTGAGGTTCTGTTCAAATCAAGCACAGGAAACACATTTATCAACAGCAGCCAGTGTTTTCAATGGTTCATTTCATTTTTCCTCCAAGTCCCAGAGGCCAGGAAACATAAAACTGAGTTAATGAGAGCTAACATTTACTGACCCAGGTAATATCCTAAGTACTCTCCACAAATAAATCTGCTCAGTCCTCACAACCTTAGGACACAGGGACTATCAGCTTGTAAAGATGAGGCGACCGAGACAAGGGCTTTGAGTCACTTGCCCCATATCCCATGGCTGGTAAATGACAGAGCTGAGATGCAAACCCAGGAAGTGTGGCTCCCATGCCGCATCACCTGCCACAGGGTAAACCCAGAGGACAGTATATTCTTAAACGTCCAACTTTTCCTCCTGTGGGTATTTGGGGTCCCCTACACTTGCTCACCAAAGGGCACTCGATATAGACACTTCCCTCTCAGCAGTTCTATGAATGTGTTGAAGCAGCTCATCTTTAACTGTGCTTGCTAACGTGACCTGGTAATTGTTTTTTAATGACTATTCCAAAGAAGTACTGAGAGAGAGATTTAACAGCCCTGGTTGCTCCCCTGAGGTCTGACACTAAACAGCTGGAACTGTAGCTCTGGCGAATCTGAAGAGGGAAGAGAAGAGGAGAAACAGTGAACCAATGTCTTGAAAAATGCGTTTCATTTGGAGAAAACCCACCACTGTTTCCACCAAGTATTTACCAACTCTTATTTTGGACTCAGCTCTAAGACCAGGGAAAGGAGTTTTCATGCTTCTGCCAAATGCAGGAAAGGAAACAGAGAGGGAAAGGAAATATAATTTCAAACTTTCCTGAGAACTTCTCCTGAGGCCAGGACTACCAAAATCAACCCCCAGAGACTGGATAAGGGCTTCTCTGTACTATCCTTGCAACTTTTCTATAAGTCGAAAATTATTTCAAAACTCAATTATTTAAACTAATGGAAACTTAATCATTATTAATTACTTAAGAACTACAGCTATATTAACTTATCAATAGGTAGTTATATTTTATACTCTATGCCAACACTTTGGAGTACTCTGGGCCTCTTACATGATATGCAATATTTACAGCATTACCTTCCTTTTTAACTGAACAAAAAAATGCCATCTGTCCCAAAACGTCAACCTGACAGGCACTATGTAGTTGTGATTCCCCCCAAAATCAGTTTTCTACACGGCGGCCTGCACCGGCCCTGAATTCTCAATATTTGGCCCACCATTCCTGACTCAACTACCATTAGCATTTCTGAAAGGTAGACCAAAGGCCCAGCTGTGGGGAGGAGCAGCCCATAGCAGGCCAAGTCCTTGTAGAAGCAGGGAGTTCCTATTGCACTGCATTTAAACCCAGATGGTGCCAGGGGGCACCAATGGCTCAGGCGACAATGATTTTAAGTTAAGATTTTAAGTGATTAAAAGTTAGGATTTAAGTTAGGACTTAATATACAGTTATTCAATTTTGGCCTTTCTGACATCACATCAATGATATTTTTGAAGACAAATAGTTTATCAGGTATACAGCCTTTAATGAAAACTTTGTTCCTACTGGAGACCACACTCTACTTTAGGATTATCTCCCTTACTGTGCAGTTTCCAGAAACGCACTGCACCAAAAGTCCAGGAGAGCTGGTTTAGCCCTTCCTGACATAGTTATTGCCTTCTCACCCACCTCCCACTCCCACAAAGAAATTAAAGCCCTCACAATAAAAATATTACCTATTTATGGTTCACTTTAAATCATACCCCAATTTTCAAGGTAGTTTAAGACTTTTTTAAATCTATCTTTTAACCTTGGTGTTTTAATAGAACATTAGCCTCCCCTATTTCCCATCTCTCAAATGGATTTCTTTTTTGCCCATTTGTTCTGAAGTAGATCCCTGGCTCAGGAAGATCCCCTGGGGAAGGGAATGACAACTGACTCCAGTATTCTTGTCTGAAGAATTCCATGGACAGAGGAGCTTGGGGGGCTACAGTCCATGGGGTCGTAAAGAGTAGGACACGGCTGAGCGATTAACACACAGACACACACACACATCCTTTAGTCAGATCTTCTAACTCGTTTGCATTTTAGGGTACTTGTGGCTCTCTGCCATCCTTTTTTTCCCTAATAATTCCTTCCATTTCTCTTGAGATTCTTCTACTTCCTATACTTTAAAACACACACTCACAGAAAGTTTAAATACAATCTGCAAATGTTTAAACGTATCTGAATACATGTATGTGGGTATAATACATCCAGACAAATTCATAAACAAGTGGAGACTGTGCTTCTTGTAAAGCTCTCTAACAGCTCTTCATCTGTAAGACATTTCATTTCAGCATAGTATAGTGATTAAGAGCACAGACTATGGAGCCAGGCTGCCTGAACTCAGATGCCAGCTCTGTTACTTACTAGCCAGCAAGTTACCTAACCTCTCTGCCCCTCTCTGCATCTATAACATGAAGATGATAATTATAACCAAAGAAAATGGTTGTTATGAGGATTAAATGAGTTACTACAGATGAAAAGCCCCAAACAGTGCCTGGCACAGAACAAGGGCTATGTAAATACGTGCTATGTGCTTTCTTTTTGAAGAGACCAACAGTTCTGAACGGTTGCTTTGGTTTTCTATGGAATTGATATCTGCCCATGGCCTTAGAGACAGAACAAGCTTATCTGCCTGATAAACTTTTCTTAGGCACCTAATTCCAACCATTTCTTAAGGGTTGATCACTGACCGGAAAGGGGAGTGGGAAGGCCAGGGGGACTCAAGTTAACTACCCTTGATTAAACTTCAAACCTCAAGTGAGTCTGTATGGTCATTTAGTGCAAGATCCCATTCTAATTCCGAATGAATACGATCAATGCTGTCTCTAATAATAAGGCTTAACTCAAAGCTTGTGCTCTCTCTCGTTCAGTCAAGGAGCTGGCAGAAGCATGCATGTGTCGGGAAAAGTCAAGGAAATCACGAGTCATATGTGAGTCATCCATCTCCTTCCTTTACATCTTAATCATCAACCTCTTTCAGTGCTTTCCTTGCAATACCTCTCTTAATTATCCTGATCATACTCAGGTGCTCTGCTGTGTCTCGTGAGGCAGGCAAACACACAGCAGTAAGGCCCGGGCCTGGACAGAAGATGTGCATGACCCATCTTTTTCTAGGGGCCACCTACAATCCTAGATTCCTGCAGAGCTTTGCACTCTGGTGACCACCCCCCCAGCCCCACACTCAGTCAAATCTCCCTGTTGACCTCTCTTTCAGTGTCATTTCCCTCCCTCTGCACCCCAACTCAGCTTCAAGGGCAAATGAAGCCTTTCTGCCTTGACTGGTTTGGCCAATGCACCCTCCTGCCAAGCCGGACTCCTCATTGAGCCCACAGGGGCACCACCACCGTTACTTCTGGGCCTCTGCTCCTGCTCTCCTCCTGAACTGGGAATAACTTCTCCTCCACCAACTCAAATGTCACCCACCCTAAAAGTCTAGGTCAAATTTTATTTCTTCCTCAGAATTCCCAGCCCTCAGCTTCCCCTCTTCTGAATGCCTATGGTACTTATTGTTTGGACTACACAGTCTGGCAGTCATCAAGCAAGTCTCCAATACATGATCATTCGTTTTTTACCAACGGCCTGTACATACTTGCGTGAATGCCCACCAGTCCTGCTCTGCTGCTCTGAGAGAGGCCCAGCTCCCCTCCCAGCCAAGGACTCCCAGCTCCCCTCCCAGCCAAGGACTCCCCTCATTTCTGCAGAGAGAGGCACTGAATGCAGTGGTTAGGGGCATGGTCTCTGGAAGCGACTGCTGGGGTCAGAAGCCTAGCTCCCTCCTACAGTCTACCACCTACGAGACTGAGCAAGCCTCTGGGCCTTGCTGTGCCTCAGTTTCCTCCTATACAAAACAAGAATGGTAACAGCACCAACAGGAGAGGTTCTGTGGAAAGATAAAATAGGTCAAGTGGAAAACTTGAACACTGCCCAGCATAGAGTAAACACTATATAAATGCTAGTTGTTATTAAGAATGCCAAAATGTGGGCTTACCAATCTAAACAGACTAAAACTAAGCTGGTAACCTAATCATTTTTATAAACACTCAAAAGATTAGAGCTGAAGGAGCCCTTAAAACTTAGAGAGTTCAATCTCCTTTCACAGAGAACCCTGTTGCACAAGGGAGGGAAATGACCAGTCCCGAAGTCCCACAGCTGGGAAAGGTCAGACCATCATAACAGTCGAGTCCCCTGTTTTGTTTTGCTTTTTTTCCCCCCACTATATCTTAATGCAATTGCATCAATATTTCCAATGTGAAAAAGTTTCTATATTTCTAAGTAACTAAGTCGCCAATGAACCTCTGTGACAAAACTGATTAAGTTGGGGATTGCCAGTATTAGCTAGTCAGCTGTTTGTTGTTCCAGGTGTGAGGTGTGTGGGAGAGGGAGTCTGGAGGAGGGAGGAGACTGTAGTAGCACTGTGAAAATCAGGAGACAAAAGGAGATGGGTGGCTTCCCTGCTGGCTCAGCGGTAAAGAACCCGCCTGCAGTACAATGCAATGCAGGAGATGTGGATTTGATCCCTGGGTCGGGAAGATCCCCTGGAGAAGGATATGGCAACCCACCCCAATATTCTTGCCTGGGAAATCCCATGGACAGAGGGGCCTAGAGAGCTACAGTCCATGGGGTCGCAAAAGAGTCGGACGTGACCAAGTAACTAAATGACAACAACCAAGGGGATGGGTGACCCTCCTGCCTTCTCTGGACTGTAGCTGCCCCATGATTATGGAAATCAGATCCCCCCCCAAGTGAACTAGGAGCATGGGGGGCACAACGATTACACAATATACTCTACGGCTCTAAGCCAGTGCACAAAACCTGGCTCAGTACTAAAGAAGGCAGGCACTTGAATGAATGACTGACAAACTACAAACTTCCCTCAAGTCTCTACTCAAATGCCGCCTTTTCAGTGGCAGTCTACGTAGTCCACCCTATTTACAATGCAAACCCCTAGACTGCTTTGTTTTTCTCCATAGTACTTATTGCCCTCTAACATACTTTATATTTTACTTTTCCCCCCTTATTCCGCTTATCCCTTATTCCCCTTATTCCCCCTTATAGCATACCAGCTCCAAAGGGCAAGGACTTGATCTGTTTTGCTCACCACTGTATTCTCTGCCCCTAGAACACTGCCTGGCACAGGGCACACAGAGTCTGCATACGTTTTGTTGACTGAATCAATAGAGGGCATCCAAGTTTCCTAATCAACATTTCAACTTGGATTTCAAAGCCCAAAGCACCGGTTGAAAAAGCAATAAACAAACTGTGGGTGTTTGTGTCAACGTGACAATAAAACTTATCAACTCTGGAGCTACTATCGTCACCAAAAAAACGTCCAGAAGGTCGCTCAGGCCAAAATCTGTCCCTCAGGAATTCATTAGTGCCCCCCCGCAAGTTTTCACAGTAACTCTGGTTGATTAATTTAAATGGCCGCACCAGGTGAGGAGTATATGAGAACTCGCATCTGTGCAACTTTTCTGTAAATCGAAAATTATTCCAAAATATAAAGGTTACTAAAAAAAAAGGCATCCACGCGGATGGTGCTCTGGATTTCCCATGGATTTCTTGTACGACAGAGGAGACACGTCCTTTGCCTATAGGGACTAAGCGCTTCAGAGGTTCCCTTCGACTGCCGCCACCTCGCTGGACCCGCCGCGCAAGGAGCCTTGGCGCGTCACCCGCTTTCCCGGACCTTGGTCGCCGTCCCCGCGGGCTCCCGGCCCCTCATCCCCTCTCCGGGCCACGGGCGACACTCCCGCCGCCGACCCCGCGAACTCCTTTCGGGCCCCAGGCCTTGGCGCCAGGCTCCCCGGCGCTGCCCGACGGCCAAGGGAAGTGCGGCGACAAGCCGTCGTCCTCCCGCCCCGCCGCCCCCGCCGCCCGGGATCCGGGAAAGCCCGGTCGCCCCGGGTCCCCCAAGGTCGAGCCGGGCGCGGGAGGCGCCTACTGCCGCGGCCGCGGGTTGTCCCGAAGAGGGCCCTCGACCCCGACTCCCGCCGCGGCCCTCGGCCCCAGGCGCCCCGGCGGGCCTCTCGGCCGCGATTCCCGCTGCGCCGGCCGGGGGACTGTACTCACCCGCGAGCGCAACCACGCCGCCACGGCCGACGTAGAGCAGCAGCGCCCACAGCCAGCAGAGCCGCGCCGGCCGCTCCATACAGCCCCTCGCTCGGAGCCCGGCCGGGCTGCAGCCTCCGCAGTCTCCGCCTCTTTCGCTCCCTCTCCCACTTCCCGGCTCCGCCGCCCTGGAGGCTAGTGGGGGGCCGGCGCAGACGGGAAGAGCCGCCCCGCCCACCGGCCGCAGGTAACCCCGGGGCCAGCGCCGGCGGAGGGGCGGGGCGCCCGCGGCTCCAGCAGCGGCTTCCGAGGCGCGACACCTGGCCCCGCGGCAGCCGAGCCTCCGTCGCGCCCCGGGAGTTCGATCGCCGGCCAGGCAGAGCGGCCCCGACCTCGTCGCGGCCCGGCCCCGGCACCGCCGGGCTCGGTGCGAACGGTGGGCAGCCCAGAGGAACCTCGGACATGCCCAGCCGATCACCCGGGCAGGGCAGGGCGGCCTCCGGGAAGGAGACTTGACCTGGACTTCTGGAGTCTCAGAGTGCAATCGTTGGCCTCTGAGCCCTTGTTTCCTAAACTCTGAGTCCAGGGTTAGAAATCCCAGGCCCGATTTCACACGGTGCGCTTGGAAGACCAAAGAGGGCCCTTGGTGGGAGCGCGTTATGTGAAGGTATATTTGATGGAAGGTATATTTGAATGCTGATGATACATAATGCTAAGTTGAACATAGAAAGAAAAAAGCTAAATTTTAAATATGAGAGACAGTGCCATACTGGGCTTCCCAGGTGGCTCAGTTGGTAAGAATCTCTCTGTGATGCAGGAGACCCAGGTTCGATCCCTGAGTGGGAAGATCCTCTGGAGGAGGGCATGGCAACCACTCCAGTATTCTTGCCTGGAGAATTCCATGGACAGAGAAGCCTGGCGGGCTACAATTCATGGGGTCGCAGAGTCAGACAGGACTGAGCGTTTGAGCACAACAGAGTACCATATTATGTACTTGGATTTTTCAAAACTCACATCCAACTTTCTACACACTTCTTTTTCATAGATATATATTGGGAGATGGAAGGTGAGCTGGAAAAATATGCACTGAATAGGTTGGAAGTGGATGATTGTGAGGATTAAGGATGATGAGGATGGAGGAAGAACCCTTTAGTTTTCCTGTGGCTGCTGTAACAAATTATCGCAAATTTAGTGGCTTTAAACCACCCAGTTTTATTATTTTCATATTAGAATTCTGTAGGTCAGAAGTCTCATTGTACTAAAATCAAGCTGTAGGCAGACCTGTGTTCACTTCTGGAGGTTTTGAGAGGTTTTGTGGGTGAATCTATTTCCCTGCCTTTTCCAGCTTCTAGAGACTGCCTACATTCCTTGACTGGTTCCTGCACCACTCAGACCTCTGCTTCCCTTGTCACATCTCTTTCTCTGACTCTGACCCTCCAGCCTTCCTTTTTCATTTAAAAAAATCCTTGTGATTTGATTGGACCCACCAGATATAGAGAAGCTAGTGGTTGGGATAGGGGAATGGAAGGTACAAACTACTGAGTGTTAGATAGGTAGCAAGGATGTATTCTACAACACGAGGAATATAGCCAATATAACTGTAAATTGAGTGTAATCTTTTAAAGTTTGTGTACAAAATATCTTTAGTGTAAAAGGGAAAAAATAGACCTACTAGATAATCCATGATCATCTTCCTATTTCAAAATCCTTGATTTATATTAATAAAAAGCTACTGTATAGCACAGGAAACTCTACTCAGTACTCTGTAGTGACCTATATGGGAATAGAATCTTAAAGAGTGGATATATGTACATGTATAACTGACTCACTTTGCTGTATAGTAGAAACTAAAACAGCATTGTAAATCAACTATATGTCAATAAAAATTGATTTTTGAAAATCATTGATTTAATCACACTTGCAAAGTCACTTTTGCCACATAAGGTAACAAACATATGCACAGTTGTCTGGGATAAGGTCATGGACACCATTGAGAGGGGATTATTTTGTCATTATGTGCTATGTGCTTAGTTGTGTTCAACTCTGTGACCTCATGGACTGTAGCCAGCCAGGCTCCTCTGTCTATGGAATTTTACAGGCAAGAATACTGGAGTGGGTTGCCATTTTCTTCTCCAGGGGATCTTCCTGACCCAGGGATTGAACCCACATCTCCTGCATTGGCAGACAGATTGTTTATCACTGAGCCACCTGGGAAGCTCCCCCCACCCTGCCAAAAAACAAAAACAAAAAAGAGTCTTGTCTGGATGGATGATGAAACCCACTAAATGGGATGTATTTTGGTTGAATTAAGCCAATTTACACACCTAAAGTCTGTTGCAAAAAGTATAGCAATAAAAATACTGATAGTACACCTAGAGTCTACACAGGGGCTTCCCAAGTGGCGCTAGTGGTAAAGAACCTGCCTGCCAATGCAGGAGACTAAGGAGACCTGGGTTTGATCCCTGGGTTGGGAAGATCCCCTGGAGGAGGGCATGGCAACCCACTCCAGTATTCTTGCCTGGAAAATGGCAGCAAAGAGTAAGACAGGACTGAAGTGACTTAGCACACATGAAGAGTCTACTCAAAGGACATGGGAATGTTTAACCTATCCAAAACAATGGCCTCACTCTTGGTATTAAGACCCTCAAGTTCAGTAAACTGAGGTAGACAGTCATTAAAAGCAGGCCCTGCCAACAAAAAGTTGCAGCCATTGTGAGGGGAGATCATAAGGGCAAGAACAGGGAACTGTGGGACACAAAGAAGGGACAACTTATGGGAGAACAGAGGCAGGAGAGTCTTCCAGAAGGCAGGCCTGCCTGCTCTGAATCTTGAGATATTGAGTCTTGTGGTTCAATTTTCAGAATAAATTCTTGCCAGTATATTTTTGTTGTTGTTGTTTAGTAGCTAAGTTGTGTCTGACTCTTGTGACCCCATAGACTGTAACCTGCCAGGCTCCTCTGTCCATAGGATTTCCCAGGCAAGAATACTGGAGTGGGTTGCCATGCCCTTCTCCAGGGGATCTTCCCGACCCAGGGATTGAACCCGTGTCTCCTGCATTGACAGGTGGTTTTTTTTTTTACCACTGAGCTACCTGGGAAGCCCTTGCGTGTGTACTGTACAAAATAATGTTTATAAAAACACTATGTAAACTATCAAAACCAGCAGAACTGAGACATTACTATTATTTCTAAATCCCCCCACAAATATGCCAGTCACCCTCTAACATAAGAACCCCCTCCCCCATCACCACACAGATATACTTGTTGACTTTTGCTATAAACATTATACATTTATGATATAACATAAATAAGTTTATAATAATGTTTCCAAAATGATTATATTTTCTGCCTTTAAAGAAGTCTCCAGTTGGAACAGGAGTCCCTGGGGACTGGCTGAGTGCCACCATGGGCACTGTCTCGCATAGACTGAGCGAGTACTTAATGAAATGAGCAGTAATGGCAGCAAATGATTGGAAAATAAGATCATGACTTGTCATTAGCCTCCAGAAAAGGCCCTGAAAATGTGAGCACTGTGAGTAAAAAAAAAAAAAAACCCAGGCAGTGGCACTGCCAAGGTAGTCCTGGCTTGCTGTCCTGAGTAAGAGTCTTATATATAAGTCAGTTTCATTTCCTCTAGATCCTAAACATCAAGCAACATTTGAAAAAAGAACTTTTTGGTAGGGCTAGGCAAGGGTTAGGAAGGCTGTTTCTTCAGCATCAAACTCTTATTTGTAATCTCTGTGTACATTTATTCAAAGACCATATTGGATTGAGTTAGGCCACTGCCTGGGTCTGAAAGAAGATGAAGACAAAAGGAAGACTTTCCAGGGACTGCAATAAACACAGAGTTCTCATTTTGGTTTTGTGTAATCAAAGTCCTGATGAGTCAACATCAAGTTGAGCTTTAACCTTTAATCCATTGAGCCCTAATGACTTGGGTGTGAGACTCCCAATCACAGCTCTTTTTGCTCTGACTGGGTGGGGCTGGAGTTCTGGGCTGACTGGTGCATCCAGTTGGCTTTCTTGATCTTTACCCTTCTCCCTAGGGTTTTCTTCTTTTCTGTAAGTGGAGTTAGAAAAGGACTTGTTGTTCACTCACTAACTCATGCCCAACTCTTTGTGACCCCAGGCGCCTCTGTCTATGGGATTTCCCGGGCAAGAATACTGGAGTGGGCTGCCATCTCCTTCTTCATGGGATCTTCCCAACCTAGGGATCAAACCTGCATCTCCTGCATTGGCAGGTGGATTCTTTACTGCTACGACCAGGGAAGCCCTAGAAAAGGGCACAAGAAAATATCTGGGAGGAGAGAATGATATCCTTCTTTCCACCGTCAAATCTCCTTCCAGCCAGTTAGACGCCACCTCCAAAGCTCATAAAGGACAAGACCCCAGCACAGACCAAGGGCTTAACCAAGAATTCTGGCTCCTTGGGCAAAGATCTCACAAACGGTCTTCTACATTTTATTAAGCAAAGCCAGCACAGACCCTCATCACCACTGTGATGTGAAGCAAAAAGGGAAATAGCAAACAGGGAACTTCCCTCCTGTCACTAGAGCAGTGGTTCCCAAACAGGGGCAATTTTGCCTCTGCAGGGGACGTTTGGCAGCATGGTCTGGAGATATTTTGGGAGGACATGACTTGAAGTGTGGGGGCGTGTACTACCAGCATCTAGTGGGCATAGGACCATCACCCACAGTAGACTTTCCCAGTGCAAAAAGACAACAGTTGAGAAATTCTGAGCTAGAATACTCTGTTACCTTTTGAACTTTATCCTTAGCCAGCTACCATCCCCCTGCCCACTAAAAATCAGTGAGACATGAATGCTAAAACTTATCCTTGACACCTCCCTTCCCTGGATCCAGTGTATATAGTTTGCCCATTCCACCGATTAGCCATGCAGTCACTTAAATGCAATCAATCCAAAAGGAAATCAGTCCTGAATATTCACTGAAAGGACTGATGCTGAAGCTGAAGCTCCAATACTTTGGCCACCTGGCGTGAAGAGCTGACTCAATGGAAAAGACCCTGATGCTGGGAAAGATTGAAGGCAGGAGGAGACGGGGACGACAGAAGATGAGATGGCTGGATGGCATCACTGACTCAATGGGCATGAGTTTGAGCAAGCTCCAGGAGTTGGTGAAAGACAGGGAAGCCTGGCATGCTGCAGTCCGTGGAGTCACAAAGAGTCGGACACGACTGAGCAACTCAACCAGAACACTTAGATGGGAAACCACCTCTCAGATCTACTCTCCTCCCATCCTCACCTGTGCTGTTCTGTTCAGGTCCTTATTGCCTCACCCTTATAGGTCATGTGTGTGTGTGTGTGTGTGTGTGCTGTGTGCTAACTCCAGTCGTGTCTGACTCTTTGCAACCCACTGGATTGCAGCCCACCAGGCTCTTCTGTCCATGTGGATTCTCCAGGCAGGAATACTGGAGTGGGTTGCCACGCACTCCTCCAGGGGTTCTTCCCAACCGAGGGATCAAACCCTCTTCTCCTGCATCTCTTGCTTTGGCAAGCGGGTTCTTTACCACTAGCATCACTTGGAAAGCCCCTGAGTACCCGTGGCACTTGACAAATTCCTCTACTGTAGAAAACAATACAGAGGATTGTAGGCATGTCCA